AAGGAAACCTGATTTTTAAAAAAAATTTATATATAACTCTTCTTTTAATTTTTTTAAAAATAAATCATCCGCCATTTTAATTTTAATTTCTCTGAATTAATTAATATTATTATTGCAATTTTTTTTTTTTTACAGGAGTCGTAAATAAATTACAAAATCATTTATCGATGAAGAAAATGAAAAAGAAGAAGATGAAAAATGTTAATTAAAACGAACACGTACAAACGTGTAATTAATAAATATAATAAATAAAATTGTCGGAAATTTAAAATTCGAACGTGTTGGTTTAATGTCGCAAAAAAAAAGAAAAAAAAGAAAATTTTCATGCGCGAAAATTACTCAAGAAACGTTTGGTCACCGGTTTTTTTTTTCAAAACGTCTTCGGATGTCTCGGGTCAAAGATCACGTCCTCGAACTCCGAACGAACATTGGTGAAAGTGATGATGATGATGATGATGATATTAAAAAAAATTTGATTCCCTCCAACCGAGAATTAACCCGAGGCAATCGTCCACATGGAAATCGTGGACCAAAATGTCTTCTTCTTCTTTTTTCTCTTACCTTTCACGCGTAAGTATTTTATTTATTATTATTATTATCGTCATTGTCATCGTCATCGTCATCGTCATCATCATCGCCATCGTCATCATTCTAAACTTTTTTTTTCGCGCGGAGATTATAAACAGAAAAAAAAAAAAAAAAAAAAATTTTTCACATCAGTAATTTTCTTAAGTCGTAAAAAAATTGTCACAGATTTCTACGTCATGTGACCAAGATGATGATGATGATGATGATGATAATGATGATGATCTTTAATATATTATATTTCGATCAATAAAAAATTTTTCACGTTGTCGTAATAATAATAATAATAATAATCATCTCATCGGTCGATACTCTCAAAAGATTATTTATTATAGTTTTCATAGAAAAAATTACGTAATAAAATTGTTTTAAATGTTAATAATGAGATGAATGAAGAGACGGAGGGGGGGGAAGGGGAAAACACGACGAGCAAAAAGTAATAATAATAATGATATTTTTCTAAGAGCAATTACGTTAAAATTGACTTTTTCGATAATTAAAATTTTTTTTTTTAGTAGTTATTTGTAGTTTTTGTAGTTATTTGTAGTTTTTGTAGTTATTGAATTGTGTCATTATGACTTTCATTCATAATTACTACAACCTCTTTTTTTTTTTTTCGTACACATTAAATTACTCTAATTATTATTATTATTATTATTTGTTTTTTGTGTCTCAGACTTCGAAAATTTCATTCATCATCGTTTAATAATTCGTATGGAATTTTTTTTCTCCAGGTGGTGGTTGTGGTGACGATGGCGATGGTGATTCTACGCTTCGTCATTTTGTTTTTTTTTAATATGTCATTTTTCGTTCGTTCCGGTTATTTAATTTTTTTAACGTTTATTTTTTTTACATAAAAATTTTTCTTTTAAGAAAAAATTTTAACAAAACGTTTTATTGCTCTTACGTAAAATGAAAAAAAAAAAAAATACAAGATGGCGACAATGACGATTTTTTCATTCATTCAATGATTATCCGAAAAAAACGAAAACTCAAAAAAAAAAATTTTTTTTTTTTTTTTAAATCACTTTAAGAGAAAATTATTTATTTATTTATTTATTTATTCAAATCGTTTGATAATTTAATAAGTTTTTTTTTTTAATAAATAAATAACTAAATAATAATAATGATAATTGACGTAAAAAATTTTTTTTTGGACAAAACAAAAAAAAAAAAAAGTAATAAACTTTTACTTTCTCACAAATGTGCAGACATTTTTACATTTATTATTATTATTATTATTGTTGTTAAAAAATATTTTGAATTATTATAATTTACGTATCGGAATTTTATTATTATTATTATTATTATTATTATTATTATTTAATGAGGTAATAAAAAATCATGGAGATTTTTTTTTTTTTTTATTGCAACTAAAAAAAGTAAAAAACGAAAAAAAAAAAAAAAATTTCTTTATCTGCCCTTCGAGATTTTAAATTCTCTTTTTTTTTTTTTTGATTTATTACTACTACTATTATTATTATTATTATTATTATTATTTTTACGATGGTAATTGTTGTGGTGGTGGTTGTTGTTGTTGTTGACGTAATCAATTTTTATTATTTGGATTTTTGTTAGGGGAGCGTCAAATTTATTAATTTTGACGTGTCGTCGTTAATTTTATTACTTTTATTTATATTCAACAGTTGAATAATTTTTTAATTGATTCGAATTAAAATTACTTGCGTAGCCAATTAATAAATAAATAATAATAATAATAATTATTTATGTATTTGCGGGTGTGTAAATTTTTGTATCCATTAATGAATACATCGTTAATTGTCTTATTATTATTATTATCACACGGGTAATTAATTTTTAATTTGATGTTTTTATTAAAAAAATAAATAAATAAAATAACACGCGAGGTTGCGATTGTTTGTTCGGTTGTTGATATTTGTTTTGATTGTATAATAACAAACAAATTGGTAAAAAAAAATAAAAGTAATTTTAATTCGATTTTTTTATTGATTTATAAATTTAAAGACTTTCATCATGTTTTTTTTTTTTTTCTTTCCAGAATACATCCATCGTGTGGATCCAGTTGCTCGTGACCTCATGGAAAATACAATTTCTAACCCAGTTTTATATTTTTGATTTGGCCTAAGAACAAGTAAGTAAATAACTAAGTAAAAATTAGAAATGTGAAAGAGTGAGAGAGAGAAAAAGAGAAAAAGTGAGATGAGAGGAGGGGGAGAGAGAGAGAAAAGATGTAAGAAAGGAAGCTGGTTCGGGGTCATTTATCAATTTACCTTTGATAATCTTTTAAAATTTTTTTTTTTTCTCCAGACTTTTATTTAAAAAAAAAAAAAGCAAACAAAAACTTGTTTTAACAAGTTAAATACATAATTTATTTATTCGTTTCGTGTAATTGAAATATTATTTAGAAAAAATCTGTTGTGGTTGTTGGTTAATCAGTAATAAAAAAAATTATTATTATTATTATTATTACCGAATCCGATGAAAAAAGTAATGATAATAATAATAATAGTTATAGATTCGTATTTAAAACTCGTTCGGAAGAAAATTTTTAATTTATTTTTTATTTACGGATTTCATAAAATTATTTATTAATTGTAAGAATTGAACGGTTGGCTTTTTGTTTAAAAACTTTTTTGGCGGTTTTTTTTTTTTTTGAAATTTAAATTTAACGGTTTTTTTATTAACAAATAGAGGGGAAAGGGGAAAATTTAAAGAAATTCTGAGAAAATTTTAAATTACGACGGACAAAAATTGTTTTTTTTTTTTTTTTTTGCGTCATGTTTTTCGTCTTCTTCTTTTCGAGGTATTATTATTATTATTATTATTATTATTATTATTATTATTATTATTATTATTATTATTATTAT